GCAGTATGAAGTCTTATTTGCTTTGTTTGCCCTTTCCTGTATAAACCTAAAATTGTCCACAGTATTGAATGATTAACAAATAAATAAATAAATAAAGTTGGCGAGCTCCCAGGCTTCCACAATTGTGACAATCAGTACAACGGTGAGACCACCGATTTCAAAAACAGTTAAACAACACCAATATAACATCAGGAAACAACGCGTGACCACATATGCCCTCACTAAACACTTGGAATCTACAGGATACCAAACTGACTGGTCAAGCACGCGTGTTCTAGCCAAAGAAAAGCTTGCATCTGCCTGCACCTGGAATACCAGCACATACAGACAACTGCACTTATGCTGAATAGGAGTGATGGGACACTTCCAACAATGTACTCCCGGTACTTATGTCACGTACTTAGGCTTACTTATATACCCTGTGCCTTTCTTATGGCTATTCTTGTGAACAAGGCTCCGGGAGTGCAGAAACACCAGTAAACTTTATATTCCTTTGGCAGGTGCATTGTTTTGCATCTACACTAAGAAGAAACAGTCACGCAAACTGCGTTTTTTTTTTTTTTCAGCCATCTTCTTCCTTTTCACTGTAGTTGCAGCCCAAGGAGTGGCTGCCGTCAGTTTCTATGAACAGGCCAGATTTTTCAGAAATTCCCCGACGTTTTCCCAGTGTCATGTTGTGTATTTTGTTTTGCTTTTATTATTACTGCTTTGTGGTCCATGGATCTTGCAAGAAGTTGGCTAATACGAAGTCTGTGTATGTTTCCCTGGTGATTGTTGGCTGTTTGTCACATGAAATACATCGCAAAGTATCGAGACGGCATATACTAAACAAGCCAGTCAACATTGTCATCAGGCCACTGCTTCCCTTGCCCTCACCTTCCATCAGCATTGCCATTAGCCACTGCTTCCTGCCCCTTACGTTCGTTTTCATCCATAAGAAAAAGACAGTTTTCCATGGTCGTAATCGGTTATCTTTCATGTGCTAACATGCCCCTTCTTTAAAGCGTCGTTGTCATGGCATATAATGGGTACAACGGACAACACAAAGTGAACAAGCCTAGACCAAAGTTGCTTTGCCCCTACGACACCTGGCAGAAGTGTAAAAAAGCAGTCAAGTCACCAAACAATGCTAATTTCACAACAAACATGGGGCTTGATGCTTCACACCCACTGCATAGTACTCATTCACAGTTTTTCACTGTTGTCAGTCGCATGCAGCATGAACAAAGTGAACATAATACCTTACAGGTGCGTCGCAGCTTACCCGCAGAAGGACAAGGGGAGCTGCACTTCACAAAAATTATGATTTATGGCCTATTCACCAAAACTTCAAACACAGTTGGTCTTTCCCTAACACAGAAGTGCACCCAGAATTTGCAATATGCAGTATCATCAAGGAATTTCTGTTTTAGTTATGTTCACTTGACCCTTCAATTACACCTCTGCACAGTCGCTCATGTGACCTTTCTAAAGGCCCTCACCATGCAATCTATTTGCAAAAATGCAAGAAGGAACTTTAATGAGGAAGCTGCCATATAAGCAAATGGGAAGATAGCTTTCTGTGTGGCATCTTAAAGATTATTTCCTTAAACAAAAAGACTGATGATGAAACTTGCCACACAGAAAGAACTATTGATGATTTGTGGGGTTTAACGTCCCAAAACCACCGTTTGATTATGAGAGACGCCGTAGTAGAGGGCTCCGGAAATTTTGACCACCTGGGGTTCTTTAACGTGCACCCAAATCTGAGTACACGGGCCTACAACATTTCCGCCTCCATCGGAAATGCAGCCGCCGCAGCCGGGAATCGAACCCGCGACCTGCGGGTCAGCAGCCGAGTGCCTTAGCCACTAGACCACCGCGGCGGGGCCAGAAAGAACTATTTGCTTCTGACTGAAGTACAAAGCTGATTTTTAATTAGAGAACCATGTGGTGGAAATGAGCATCAGGCACAGCATCAACAAAAAGGGTCGCTGCTCTGATCTCTTTCTTCTCAAGCTCCAACGATGACGACACAGCTGCACCGGATGGAGTCACCTCATGCACAAGGGCCTTCCGTCTCTTGTTTCTTTTCTTTTTTTTATACGTTGTTTTCTTTTTGAAAAAAATGTCCCGGTTGCTATTTTGTCGTAAGGAATCCTCGGAATTTTCAGCTTTGTAGCTTTCCTTATTTTGATTTCAAGAGTATGCTTGGCTGAAAGCACCAGCAAGAAAAAAACTTGCCCCTGGAAAGAGCCCATCACAATTTTGTGCTTTTAGACATACAAACACTTCCTGTTCCCAAACGAGTGCAATAGAAACTGCGCCCCAAGTGTCGGCAACGGCCGTGTGAGAGGCCAAATGGCTGACTGCGAGCACTCCCACAGGAAGAGTGCCAATTACACCCAATTGAGTCAGCGTGAACACTGCTGCTACATGACGCATTGCCTCTTTTCGAAGCTAGAGAACATGCTGGCTGGCGTGAGCCACCGCTCGATCAGAAAAGTCCATTCACCGTTTTTTTTTTTTTCAGCATTTTCTTGAAAACTTAGCATCTTCTTGCTGCGTGAATAGTGCTTTCAGAATTGTGGAGGGTTAATTTACCAATACAAGAAACACTGTTATAAATGCGAAACATTTCTTAGCAATATTCAGCGACTTTGAGCGTGCATGTGTTATGTATGTATGTATGTATGTATGTATGTATGTATGTATGTATGTATGTATGTATGTATGTATGTATGTATCTATCTACTTAGCTTTCTACAACTTTGTGCTCTCCAGGCCATTTCATTATTGGAATGGATACCAAGGCTGGTATGACACAACATGAAAATCATGACACGAATATCATGATTGATTGATATGTGGGGTTTAATGAACGGCATGATTTACATGCGATGTTCTTCATGCTCTTGGGGCTGTTTCGTTAACTTGATATACAGCAAAATTGGTATGGCATAACTTGATTGCATGACGAACATATGTTAGATGTCATAACATGCAAATAATGACATGCATTTTATGTACGGCATGATTTACATGACATGGACTCAGGCCGCTTGCGGCCCATTCAATTAAACGAATCTATTGTCACTAAAATTAGTGGCATAGCACTTCACTAGAATGAATATAAATTACAGGTCATAACATGATAATCATTACATGTATGTTATGAACGGCACGATTTACATGCCATGGTCTTTGCGCTCTCACAGCTGTTTCATTAGGTTGATACATAGCTGTAATTGGTATGGCATGACTTCGCTGTATGAAAACCTAAGTGAAAGGTTTTCATGTGCAAATAATTACATGCATGTCATGCACAGCATCCTCGAGATGCTCGCCTGCAGCCTTTCAATTAAACGGATATACACTTGACTGTAGGACGAACATAGATGACAGGCCATAGTATGAAAATTATGACATGTGCAGCACGACTTGCATGTCATGCTCATTTCACTAGCTTTTTCTCTTCCCTTCAGAATTATTTCCTTTTTGCTTATGCAATACAGATGGAATCACTTGTTTCGTGAGGCTGAGCGCATGGCTGTGGATGCTGTTGTTGTCTGTAGCTGTTAATTCACATTGGCTACAAGCTCCCCTTCATGCCTTAATCACAGCACAAGGACCTAGCATGTAGTACGACTGTCAGCTATGATTGATGATGACTAGACTTTAATGGCCCAAGGGAAACTCAGGCCAAGGAGTGTCAAACACAGGGTTGCTGGTCGACTCTGCTATAAAAAATTTCTCAAGGCAACAAGAATATAACAGTAGCACATAGGGCCTAAATTTAAGAGTAATTCCCATGCATGATGCATTTAAAAACAAACAAAACCTATGGGCTTTAAAATGTCTGGCGACATCGGCAACATTCCTGAACAGGGCAAGGAGTGTGTGCGCTGCATGACTATTGAAAAAAAAAAAAAAAAAAAACCTCCGATATTCCTTCCAGACGCTGTATATACGATTGTATACACGAACTTCATAGGTGCGTCATGCACTGCATGTTCCTTCAAAAAGATTGAAATGCAATGTGCACATTTGTGCAGGCTTCCTAGGTGGACTACTCACAATCAATTTCATTGCATTGTGTATTGCTGCATAGGGTCATTTTGCTAGAGACACTACAATATTCAACGATTGTTCGACATGCTGCATTCCAAGGCCAATGTTAACCGTACTTTCTTTTTTTTTTTTGCTCAAAACAAATACAAACAAAAAATACAAAATGTGCAGGCATTTTGGGCTTAATACTTATTTTTATGGAAGGATTTTCGCTAATTGACCGTAATGAGATAATTACACGCAAACATTAATTACTGACACCAGCACAGAGGAAACCATTCCTTGATTTTATTTCTTGGAATGTAATTCTTTGGAATCATGCCACACGAATTTGACACACTTGCAGACAGTGTACCCTGATTGGCGCCTCAAAAGGACATCATTACGAAGTCGGTCATTGCATGTTTTTGCAGATAACGGCGGCACAACAACGGCAGACAAGTGTGATTACGTCTGCACAAGAAGACGCATTTTTAACGCGGCCGGACCTCCCGCTGTCTAGTCAGGAAACCCACACGATGCCTCGCCGACGGACGAAAGCGCGTTTCCGCTCGGCATCCGGCGATAAACGCAGGAAAAGAAAGCGAGGCCACCACCCAACCACGAGGAGGTCGTGCACCCAACTCGCCAGTGCGTTACATAGTGGCCTCTCGTTTGGCCAGCTACGTTTCGGGCGCAGAGGGGACACGTCATGGATGAAACTACACCACACTACGAAGTGTTCGCGCTAACAAATAGGAAAGAAGAAGCCCTGTTGTGTTCACGTATTTCTACTAGTTTCGGACCCCATCACTGAACGTAATTGCCGAGAAAGCGTCTACTGAGAGGAGGAAAAGCTCATTCGATATTTGGACGCAATTAATGCGTCGCGATCCCGGCATATCTGAATGGACAAAATTTTCGCGGACAACAAAACAGTAAATAACAAAGTGACTCACGGGCATACTCACCCTCATAGGCAGCTGACAGGCGTCGAACCTTGCGCGGACGAAGGCACACAAAAACAAAGTTCAAAACGCCGCTCGACTTCGGGACGGACGCTACTTCTCGACTTTCCGAGTACGCGACAAAGTGAAACTTGTTGCATGAGCGACGATCAAACTAAACCGCCCACATAGAGAGCGTGCGCAAACGCTGTCGTCAGATGACACACGCGGACACATTGACTCGTATATACATATATATATATATATATTTAGACGACGTTAAAAGCTAGATAAATACTAATGGCTAGAGTAAAGCATATGGTGAGAGATGATTGATGTGAGCGAAGCCGCGAAAGGGCAAACGTGACGAACAGGCGCCAGAAGGCGCCACAAGCGCGTAACCGCACCTCTTTAGTTTTTTTTTAAAAAGTCGCCAGGTGGCAAGACAAATCAACGGGCCGAACCGTTATTTATTTGCAACGCTTTCTCGTTTTTCAAACGTTCTGTTGGATGACTATCTGCCGGCTGTGCCCATAAAAATCAGCGTAGTGGACTCTGTTGAGCTTCAAATATATAATCACGAGTTGACGGCGAGTTTTTCTAATGAAGGAACATAAAAAAATGCGTGAAAAATAAGAGGAAGAATATTTTTATAAGCGATGAACTTGTGAGCACAAATATCTTATTAGACAGAGCCTATTGTTGCGAAGTCTTCACAACTGGTGCAATTTATCGGCAGAGAATTTTTTATCTCTACGTTTAGAAACACACACAAACTTTCTCTCCACCTCATCAGCGAAGTGAAGAAATCCATAGTTCATGAAATCCATAATAGATATATATAATAGAAAGATTGCAGATGACCTAGAAAAATTGTGGTGCTTGATCTAATGCATTTCATTCTAAAGTTCTTGAAGGAATCTTTGAATTTTCGCTTCTTCGCTGTCACCCATCTGTCCTAAAATGGGGGGACCTTAATGTCGCTACCTTAAAAATTATGGACGGACCTTAATCTGTCCTTCTCCATGCTGTCACCTCGCGTAAAGCAGCGGAAACTTGAGAGCTTACGCGTAGCGTGGCAGCTTGGCCTAGTTGGTATGGCATGACGATAGTTATAGCGCGATTGTGTCGTCATTCTGTTTTCGAGTAGCGAGTGATGCATACGTTTCTATAACTTTCAATATTTTGCAGTACGTCTTGGTTTTAATTAGAAAAAAACGTTTCAAAGTCGGTACACGAGCGTCCCAAACTTCAAGAACGTAGTCTATGCGCAATCCATCTGAAGCGAATCCGAAGCCTGTGCATCCCGTCGTTTGTAGGAAACTCGATAATCGCTCCTGTCAGTGAATGTAACTTAAGTGTGGCAGCTTGAAAGTCTTGATGCATATTCGTAGTCGTATTCTTGTTCGAACGGTCTTCTGCTGCTGAAGTAATGGAGGTGCGCATAGTACCTTTCGAGCACACATACCTTCCAGGCGTGCAAATCTCGTTTATTGAACGCAGGATGTTTACAGATACCGTGCGGTGTTTGTGTCATTTCAGAGAGAAGAGAAGGCTTTGGATGTGGCCCTCGATGCCATGATCAGCCGCACGCAGGACTTGAAGAATTCCATTGCTAGCTTCATCATAAAGCTTGAAACCGAGTACGAAACACTGCAATGGTGAGTACATGTGGTATGAAAGTACTAGCTCGTAGGCAAGTACACAGAGAAAAGAAAATCGAAGGCAGCGGCACCGTGTCGTTTTAGCGGCAATTCGTGCTTCTATGCGCGCCGCCGTTATTCTTCATCTGAGTTTGAACCCTTCCCCGATAATTCAAAACATCTCGCGATCAACGCCACTGTATGCATGCAGTACAACCTTGCAGTGTGTGCTCTCGCACTGTAACTCATACAAAGCGAGATAGTAGAGGCGTTATTTTAATGAAAGGGAAGCGCATGGCAAAGCAGCCTCGTGCCGCACATGTAAGGCGGCGCAGTGGTGAAATTGGATGATGGTGATGATCAAAACTTTATTACTCCCAAAAGAGGGGACCGACCCAGAAGTCTGCTACACAGTAACACTGCTTAGAGGAGGTCAACAGGGATCCCTTGGGACACCGCGGCTCCGATGCGCGTGAGATTACCCGTCATTGTTGTGCCGAGTCGGTGGTACGCAGGAGGGACTCCTACGTATCTTCTGTGTGAAAAGCCTCAACGTACTGTGGGCACGTCCATGCAATGTGTATGAGGGTGGCTGATTGTCAGCAGTATTTACAGTGTGGTGTCACGAGGTGTGGGTATACCTTGCTATAAAGCCGGGGGTTGGGAAAGACACCCGTATGAAGCTTGCGCCACAGGACGACATCACGTCGGGGGAGGTCTTTATGAGCTGGAGGATATTGGAGATGGCCTAGTCTGTAGTGCTTTAGAATGCCTGTGTAAGTGACCAAAGAAGTTAGTTCTTCGCAGGCCTAGGAGGGCGAGAAACGGGAAGTGTAAGGCGTAAGGAACTCTGTCCGGCAGTTGAGATCCCGGGCGAGAGTGTGTGCCTTCACATTTCCACTAAGAGATTCATGGGCTGGGCCTCAGATAAGAAAATGAGATGAGGCAGGCGGGGTGCGATGCTTTATGATTGAGTATGCCTGTGTAGATACGGCCCGCTTCAAAATTTCGGATGGCGAGTTGGGAATCATGGTCACCTTGGTTATTGGGTCGGTCATTGCCAAAGCAATGGCAACCTCTTCGGCAATTGTTATATCGGTGGAGTGAATAACACTACATGCCGTGCTCCACCTATGGTGCGGGGACAGGGCGACAGCCACCATTGTTGTTCAATGTGGGTGTCGCAAGTCGTCTGTGTACGTGACATCGGAACGATTTGAGAGACGTTTCTGTGGATGGTGCGTATGGCGAGAGCGGTGCCGTTTAATCGATTGCCTGCACTCCTTTTTGCAGTTCTCCTCTTTTTTTATTCATTTGTGTCGTTGTGGCAGACAATAGCAACAATCCTTACCGAAAACAATGTTCGAACAGAGCGTAAAATAAAGACATGTTCGTGACGGGAGTGTGAGCTGAAGAAGGAACGAAACCACTCTCCTTTACTCTCATATTTCACCACTTTGCCGTGGCGCATGTTCAGCACAAGGCTATCTGCCACGCGTTTCCGTTCATAAAAATGGCTACAAATGCCAGGCAGCAAAAGTGGTACCGTCTTTCACGTATCACAACCACCACAACTTGTGAGACCATGAAAGAGGGCTTGTGCGGCATCTGCGTTGTCACGTTCCCGTTAACATCGCGCATTTTTCACTTAGCTTGGGAAAAATCGTTTTCAGCAAAGTGCATAAGCTACTTTGAAAGAATGCAACATTTGTGTAGCTAGTTAGCTTAGATTTTTTTTTGAAATGATTGGCACTGTGCAATTATAAAGGTGCTCCGTCTCAGTACCATCAGTATCTGTTGCAGCTGATAATAAGCATAGCGTCAGACTGTGGCGTGTAATGCAGCATTCATGCGAGTGATCTGGAAAGCATGGAAATGCACCTCTTTATGAACATGGCGTAAAAGGAGTATTGACGCAAATTTTAAATAGACAGGCAACTGATTTTTCTCCATCCAGTTTTTTTTACGACGTGACAGAAATCTCGCTCTTTGTAGTTGTTGCTGCAGTAGTTAATCCCAAAAGCATGTAGTTAATTTACAATTGGTATTTTTTTCATCAGAAAGGTCCTAGACACAGATGCACCTTTCCTCAAACAACACTGAGACAGCAATGCCACCAGACCTTCTCGCAATTTGTCAAAGCTGTCGTTCACGGGAGTTTCTGTAACTAAGCTTAAGTGCCTCCATTTTCAGCTTTTCAACTATTTTTGAAAATATCAAGCTGTCCCTGTACTGCGCTGTATGCATTTGTGCTCTAAGCGGCCCGGCTTACTCTGGCTACACAAGGAAACATCACTACGCATATGCCCGGTTGCACCGAGTAGCAATGTGCCATCATTTCTGAGATGGACTGTAGGTAGAAACTATATCGCCCTAAATTCCAGTGGCCCGGAAACTGCTTGCGTGGATTAAAGACGCTCTGACGAGCATGGGGTTATTATGTCACACGAAGGCAGCACCACTTTAATGCTTGCTGCTGATACAGGCCTATACGTACATTTTTATCGAGTAATATTTCAATATGAAGCAACCAACAACATTTTAACATTAACAAAAAAATCATTGACCGCGTACAGCTATCAACAGCCACATGGTTAGGTACATCGGATCGTTCATGTGTTTGCCACCGGAGGTGCCACAGGTTATATTCCGCAACTTTTGATGAAGAAATAAAAATACACATCCACCTCTCGTGTAAAAAAACAGGGTTGGTTTGAGTCAGCATGATGGACAATCTTTTCATCAGTGGAATCATCTCATTTCATATTCTGGGTAGTTGTCTGTTCCTTTAAATATTTTTGGGTTGTTGCTCTAAATAAAAATGCAGGTGTTCAGAACCTTAAAAAGATTGCCATAGCACTTGGGAATGTATTGAATACATATTTAACATCACTACCTTAAAACAGCAATTTCGGATTTGAAGTGACGTGTCAGCACAACACAAGTGTGATGTCACGGGAAGACTGCAACTCATGCACAGCTGCCTGTTTGTTGTTAGTCTGATTAAGAACAAGTGAATGGTGAAACCATAGCAGCAGTTTGCAGGATACCAAGTGTTGACTTGTAATAATATCTCTTGTGGCAACACTGGCTTCCAGATGCTGGGTGATGAAAACTTTAACAAACTAAAATATTTTATAAGTGTCGTCAGGCTCTGGTGTGTAGAGAAACGAAAGATGTCCGTTTTGGGGTGCCTCGAAATCGTGTCAGTACTCCTTTAAATCCCGCAGACAGTGTAAGGGCTCCTTGCTATCCCCTTCAGGCGCAAATTATGGTGTGCTATCTGGAAATGTGTCAAACTTTCAGGGCTTGATTCCAAGGTACTAAGAATCGCATTTCCAAAAACAAAATAAAGAAATGTGTTTTTGTTTTAGTTTCAGTAATTAATGTTAATTATCAAGTCATTAAGTATCTAATTATCCTGATATCAGCAAGATGACGTTTTTGCATAAAAACAACCAAATATTAAGCACAAAATGCGTACACAGTTAGCTTTTTTTTGGTTACACTCATTTACAGCTAAGGAAAAAAATACTCTTGACATTAGTTTGGCAACATGGCACGTCGATTGATTGTTGAACATGGTAGCGTCTGCAGCAAAGTGATCCTCTGCAGCGATACGTGGCACAATGAAGTTGAATGAGTACTTGTGCGCTCCATGAATGTGCACACTTGGTTTCAAGCCATTTAAAGAAACTCGTGATGCAACTCCATTTATGTGTACACACGGCATCTGAAAAGGATATAGCACAACATTGCAGTTGGTTCAGTGCGTACACATCGCCTTTGGTTATGTGACTCTTGTGGGTCAATGAGGGCTGTTTCAATATGTTTGCAGGCCATCCGTTCTGAACAGTTTTGCCCTGTTGTCTGGGCAACTGAACACCCTCATGAAGGTGCTGCGAAACGAGAAGACCCCGCCACTCAGGAATAGGATCCTGCTGCCTCTCTTTCTGAACCCTGAGCGGGATGAAGAGCTCGCTGTACGTGAGGCCAACTCAGTACTTGAGTTCACTGCTTTTGACTCACCTGCACAGTTTTAAATGTGGCTATGTTAGCAACTAGCTTGTTATGCGGAGGAATGCATGCAAATCATCTAAGGCCAAGTCTGCTTTATAAATTCATCCCGTCGGACCTGCCTCATCATTTATTTCGTGTGTCCCATGCATGTTTGGCCATATTTCACAGTGATTAAAAGAGATATGTATATAATGCATATATCATTTTCTTCCAAATTTTTCCTTTTTTAACTCGAGCAGGTTTGTTCAATCTGACCTGGGGTACAACAGCCGAAATATAATTTAGAACATTTTTTTGAAGCAGCAAAATGTTACTTTCAGAGCACTAAAATCCAAATTTGGGGCATGTTATGGCAAAAATGATAATTTTTTAAATCATGATATACCAAATTTGGAGATTTAAATAAAAAGGCTTATATCTTGAAAAAAAAAATCTGTAAACTATTCAACATCACCTAAATTGTGCAGTGTGAACATGAGCACTACTATTTCAATGAAAGTAGCAATTTGAACCACCCCACTGAGCAAACAGTGATGAAGTCCATTTTAGCGTTTTGTGTGACTCAGCGAACTTAAATATGGATCTGCCAAGCTCATGACCATGAAATTTGGGAGATTCGTAAAACCGAGGATCAGGGGTGGCAAAAAAGAAACTGGTGCACAATTTATTTTGTTCTTTTAGGGTCGCAGAAATGTCATACACTGCTCCTTTGGTTGCCAGTAGCTTATTATACTGGTACTAAGAATTATGTGGTGTACAAACGCATGAGTAAACTAGCAAAATGTGCAGTGTCCCGTGAATAGTGCTAACAGCCCCTTCTAAATCTCAATACGCTTTTCCGCTCGGCACCAATGTACTGCGGCGAAGGTGGCTAAAGCAGCATTCTTTGCACGAGTTAGAACCAAAGTCAAGAAATTTTCTAACCGCTACACCTTCCCCCCACTTCCCTCCTTTTTTTCTTCTTTCACCGGGGAGTTGGTGTCGCTTCAGCTCCCTTGCAAAGCACATTCGACCAAGTAAAATAATGACGTGCGCCTGTTGACTCGGCGACAATACCAGATATCTATCGTCAGGGCCTAAGCCGGGACGACGAAACTTAAAAAGAAAGCTTTATGTGGCACTGTTAAGGCAATTGACGTGGTCACTGGCAACGCCAGTGTTCGCAGCACGTCGAGCTTGTTTACACGAGAAAAACGTGGCATACACTTCCAGCTTTAGTTCCTTACAAGCGATAGCTGTGTTTTCAAGCTAGGAAATTTATATTTGCCGCGAAGCGATGATGGTGACAGCAATGCATTTTTGTCTTGAAGTTCCGTCATTGCGCCTATAGGTATCCACTGGGGTCAATGGACTGATGACCGACCCTGCAGCGCTGTTACTTTATCTGGTCATATTTCATGTACATTCTAGGCAATATAGTTGGGGTCTGCGAGGCTTGACGAATGATGCAAACTGCAGGTGGCTGATGTGGCCTTCATTTCTCGCCGAAATTAGCGCACCTGAAAAAATTTTGAGGATGGCTAGGTATTTTGGCACAGTGTGGCGGAATATCAGCAAATTTCAGGGTTTTGGTGCAACAGTTGGAAATCTTATCAAATTGGTGCAGCTGTTGCACCCCTGTACAGTTTTGGTGAATTTTCTTATTACTAGGACCAAAATTTTTAGGTAATTTGCAACTTTGAAAATTTCTGTGCATAATTTCAATTCCGTTCCATTATTTGTATGCATTTATACAGGATACGAGAAAAAATAATTTACTGGTTATTGGATTAAAATTTTAACTTGAATCTGTTTAGGAAAAAGTTGTCTAAAATTTTTTGGGTGACCGTAACGTGACGAAAAAATCATTTGTGCTGTTACATATATTAGTTTATTTGTGACAGCAGGATAAATTCGAGAATAAGAAGCTATACAAGTGTTAAAAGTTATCCGTTGAAATAAACATCTGCATAGTTCACAGGCGTACAAAAATAAGTGCACAAATTGGGATCAAACACACGAGGAGAAAAGCCACTTTTGATTCACTGATTTGAGTACACTCTCAAACACCACACTTGGGAGGTTGCTCTGCGTTTGTACATTGTGCTCGCTCTTGTGTTACGAAGAATTTGCATCACCAACAGCCTGAGCAATAATGAACTCATGGAGAGAGTACGAAAACAGGCCTACATGTGAAACACTAGGTGCGGCGGTTTCACTACTCATTTAATTGTTGTGGCAGCCAACAGCTGCTTGTTGATCAGCTGCAGTGGAGCTGTGCTTATGGTGCTCAGCTTGTGACCTGAAGGTTGCAGGTTTGATCCCAGCCGCTGCGGTCGCGTTCGATGGAGGCTTGTGTACTGTGTGGTGTCAGTGCACATTAAAGAACACCAGATGATCAAAATATCCGGAGCCCTCCACTACGGTGTCTCTCATAATCATATGGTGGTTTCGGGATGTAGAACCCTAAATGTTATTACTAACAGTTGCCTGTCGAGATTTTGCGAGAACCGTGCTGGAAAACTAAAACATGGATTGTAAAAGACGAGGTGTGCAAATGTGGACAGAAGAGAGAAGTGAGGACACTGGTTTTTGTGGTGTCCAGACTTGCTTCTTGCGTCCATGTTTGCACGCCCTGCCTTTAAAGTGAATACCCAGCACCTCTGTGTTTACTGTCTCTGCTTTTGCGTCTCTTGGAGTTTATGAATACTTACCAACTGGCCATTTTCTCTGTTATTTAAACCATTGCTTTACAGAAGCTGACTGAGAACCGAATTCAGTGTTTCAACCATGAAGTGGTGCCCGACTATCTGCGCACCAAGCCAGATCCAGAAATCGAGGCCGCCGAGCTCCAGATCAACACCAAGGCCAGCCAGATGTCCATGGATGCTGCCCAGGCAGGAATGTTTTGTGTTCTTTGTCCAAAATGTGTATACCACTTGTTGATGCTATTCGTATCGGCTAGGGGCACCTTGGATGAACCAGCATTATCGTTATTGAACCTCATTTTGCAGTGTACATACGTATGATCACTTGTGCTTCCTGCGAGCCATGCTCAAAATGGACTTGCGCTATACTGGTGTTTCATTCTATGCATCAATGATCGTCATCAGCCTAACTATGCCCACTGGGGGGCCATCTCCGATGTTATGCCAAACAGCCTGGACTTGTGCTTTCTGCTGCCATGTCAGACCTTAAAATTTCTCAATCTCGTCCGCCCACCTAATTTTCTGTCTCAATCCCACGTGTTTGCCTCCTTCGGAAATCCAGTCAGTTATACCTAATGACCAGTGGTTATCCTGCCTACACGCTACGTGCTTGTTCATGAGAGAGCATCAATGAGTTCAGGACAGATATTTAATTACAGCTTAGTTAACAGTAGTTATTAGAACACATATAAACTTAACAGAACTAAAAATTGGGCTAGTTGATGGGGATTCATTTTGGGCATAGCGCAACAAATGTAGACAGAAGAGGGAAGAACCACACTGACAGGTGCTTAACTTTTACTGGTTTTTAATCACAGAAATCTCATGCAAGAAAACTAACAAACAAAGCAATGCCGGCAAAACCCAGCCTGGTAACAATTTCTGGTTGCACATTCTACTATCTGAATATGGGAGAGGAACACGCATCAACAGGGTGGTATGTTTTGTGACGTTTGCACGTTCACTGCACACCGTGGCCCCGTTAGTAACGCACAAGCAGCCATTTTGGAAGTTTTGGTGCCTAATGTCATCACTTGGGCTAGACTGCGGTGTGAAGTCACCAGTATTAGTGCTGTAGCCGATGTCAGTAGGTGTGCCATGGGAAACCATCAAAATGAAATACCGTATTTTCGCGCGAATAACCCGTACCAAACACCCAAAAATTTCAGTGGCAAAGTGGAGGTGCGGATAATACGCGGGGTTTTTCTCATAGTGCTGCTTTACAGCAATGCGTGTTGTGCTGTGAAGCCCCTTAACAGTGTAGCGAAGGCTACGGAGGTGGTTTCCACAAATTCGTGTTGCTCAGCAAGTAGCACAGCAGCTTGCGGCTGATTTTGGTTTCGCTTGCTTGCATCGTTGAATCGTTTAGAAAAACATTTGGGGAGAGACAATTCGATTGTTCAGTGTAAAATCTCACTGTCACACCACAAGTATATTTTTTGGACGTTCGCGGCCGCTCAGTGACCCTCCACATGTCCCTACGTCACGGACGCCATGTTTACTTTTGGAAAGGGCTTGCCAAAAAGGTGGTGCTGTCTAAGAAGGTTTCATAATAAATAAAGTAAGTTCCATAATAAATAAAGCAGTATTTATTTCAGCAAGGCAAATAAGATGTTATAGTGCCTTTAGAGATATTATCAGTAAATTAATGTACTACTTTTTAACGCAGTAGCAGGCATGCATTTCGGTTCTGTTGTTTCCAGGGTGCTGTTACAGTGTACTAGAAGGGGTAGTGCTGTCAAGTTGTCGCCGAGTGTGAGCGCTCTTTACCTCGCTGATACCGCTAGTTCTCCACATCTCGACCCGTTCGCCAAGCCTAAGTCGATCTGTTCTGTCACCATGAGTAGCATACGGCGGCAGGTCTTCACGGCACAGCAAAAGCTTAAGATCATCGCCGTCGCCGAATAATTTGGAAATCGCGAAGCGGGAAGACGGCACGATGTGGACGAGTCCTGCGTGTGACTGTTGAGAAAAAAGAAAGAGAGCCTACAAGCCGCGCACCGCGACCGTAGGTAATTTCGTGGCCCCAAGACCGGTGCCTACCCTGAGCTGGAGGCGGAGCTAGTAAAGTTCATCGAAGATGTAAGAAGCTGGGGTCACGCCGTATCGACCGAGATGGCCCAAGTGGAAGCGCGGCGTCTTTCGAGGGAGCTAGGCCTACCTCACAAGTTCCGTGCGAGCCGCGGATGGCTGCACCGCTTTATGAAGCGGCGGCAAGGGCTCTCAATCAGACGGCGGACTACAATATGTCAACGCTTGCCAGCTTCTTATGAGGAGAAGCTGCTCAAGTACCAGAGATATGTAATTGGTCTGCAAAAGCAGCACAATTACATTTTCTCGCAAATCGGCAATGCTGATAAAACTCCTGTTTATTTTGAAATGCCATTGGACACAACGATTTAGAAGACGGGCAGCAGTTCGGTGAGCGTGCTGACCAACGGGAACACGAAACTGCGCATCACAGTCTTGCTTTGTGCCCTCGCCGACGGCACGCAACTGCGACCGTACGTCATCTTGAAAAGGAAAACTCTACCAAAGGTCAATTTGCCTGCCGGTGTGGTAGTGCGCGCACACGAGAACGCGTGGATGAACAGTGACTTGTTCGTAGACTGGATCAAGACGGTATGAGAGAAGAGGCCCGGTGCGATGCTCGCAAAGAGGTCCATGCTCGTTCTTGACTCGTTCCGCGGCCACACAACTGAGGAAGTGAAGGACCGCCTTTCACGCAACGGCACCGACTTAGTTATTATACCCGGTGGAATGACGTCAATGTTACAGCCTCTAGATGTGTCGCTTAACAAGCCCTTCAAAGCGCATGTCAAGCTCTATTACGCCGAGTGGATGGCCGAAGGCTGCTATGACTTGACGCCGACAGGACGAGTCCGAAGGCCTGATATTGCCCTATTCTGCAAGTGGATTGCCGAGGCATGGAAGGCCATTCCAGGTGAGATAGTGCGAAAAAGTTTCAAGAAATGCTGCATCACAAACAACATGGATGGAATCGAAGATGACCTTGTGCATAATAGTGAGGACTGCGGCTCAAGTGATAGCTCTAGCGAGAGCAGCGACAGTGAGTGAATTGTGACTGGCCTTGCAGACAGCATATTCTGCTTGCTAAATAAAGCTTTTTCTGTCTACATATGTGCTATGTTGCTTGAGCAGTAGCTTTTGTACACCCTTTCCTGTATATCAAATGTGCAAGCAATACGCGAGGATTTCTTCTTTCTCGGTGAGCTGAAAGTGGGGGAGCGGATTATATGCAGGGGCGGGTTATACGTGCAAAAATACGGTATCTTACTAAGATTTGCTGAGCCTCAATCCTGCTCAGAGCCGCCTCTGAATTCAATAGACCTGCATGGCAGAGTATACACACCTCTGAAAAATGGTGTCAGTAGCCCTTTAATGACCATCGACAAGTATGGTCATCATGAATTTTTTTTACCAATGCAACCTGTCAAGAACAAAAGTTTGTCACACTGTGTACCCATGTCGACCGTACTCGCCCTATTGCATGCAGTTGTGATCTCCGATCCTTGATGAACATGCGTGCCCATGTTGTGCCACTCGTGTTTCATTTTTCATTATATTGCTGCCTCGGAAAATACCGCCTCTTTGCCACAAAGGAATGAAATCAGATGTTTAACAAAGGAAAAAAGTGAAAATTTAAATGAGCACTAAAAAGCAAAACAACTTTTCGCACACTAGTAAAGTGCAATTTCACAATCACGAAGACACCACTCTTACCGCGACACAATGCTTAGTAAGCGAGAAAACGCGCGAAAACCAATTGCGGGTGGTGACGCCACCTTGAGATTCCGTCACCAAACATTGTAATGTAAGAAATTTTGAAAGCCTCTACTGGGTCCTACGTAGCTTCCAGTCGTTAAAAATGAAGTACATTGTAATCTGTGGGTGCCCTACACATAGCATACGAAGTTCCAGAAAATTTCATCGAGCCAATGCCACGAAATTACATTTTGAACTTTCTTACGTTATGTGCAGAGATTTTGGCGCATAATTTAGAGGTGATAGGTGATACTTTAACCTTTATTTTCTCTGCTAATAATGAACTTGTGATAGTGAGACATATGGCATTAAGTTCTCAGAGCACTGTTTGTCAATCTAAACCAATTGGTTATTCCTCTGTAGTGGTCCGTTTTCTTTTTTAGACGCATTATTAATGAAAATAGCACTGACCGACACTTCCAGGATTAAATGTACATATATACCCCATGAACTTGGCGGATGTATGAGTGCCGCTGTAGCTCAATTGGTAGAGCATTGGATGCGTTGTATGGAGGTTGCCAGCGGCAAGTCATCTTTTTGCCTGCGTTACTCTATTCACCGGTACGTGAAAGTTACAACTGATAGTATTTCCTTTACTTTTCTTGGCTTTCTTGTCTGTTAGCCCTAATTAATGTTGTGTCTAACAAAGAAAAACAAGTTCTCTTTTTTTCATTCATTCATAATCATATTGTGACTTTGGTACATAAAATCTCATATTTTGTTAAGAGGCCTTTATAAAAAAGGCCTTGCATTTATTCCAATTTTTTAGGGAGTAGCTGGAGCTAGCATTAGTAAATCATGTTCAAGGTGCAAAAATTGGAAGTTAAGGTTATACTGAAGTACAGTACCCACAGACTCAAATGATACACAAAATGTTTCAGCATGACTGGTAAGCGCTGTTGCTCAAGAGAACCGCATCATGTCGTGCGGAATATGTTCTCTAAAAATGATGTTGGCTTCGATCTTTGCGCTTGTTTCAAAATTACCCCAATATTATGAGCATTACTTACCCCTAAATTGTCTTGAGTCTGTGAATACTGCACGTGCTTCAGCTGTACAAGCTCATTCAGCCATCTGCGTGTTTAACAGATAAACATTGTTGTTCAGTTGGAGGCAGTTCAGGGCCTTGAAAAAAAATCTGCAGTGCTTCCAGCTTCCTGGCATCTGTTTTGTTCAGGGGTGCAACAGCTGCACCAATAGCGCCAACTTGATACAATTCCCCATTTGTGCACCAAGCTGCGCCAAAACCTTGAAATTTGCCGAAATTACACCACGCTTCGCCAAAATGCCTGACCAGTCTCAAAATTTTCTCAGTTATGCTGATTTCAGCAAGAAATGGAGGCCACATTGGCCACTTTTAGTTTGCATCATCAATCAATTCAGGGATCTAGGCACGCACACCCTAACCCTAAACCGGGGTGTAAGGCATATACTCATTAGGCCAAGATATACTAAATGAAATAACAATGCCGCGCGTCTATTCGTCTGCTGACTGCAGCGAATATCAATCGATGGGACGACGCAACTTCAAGACAAAAATGTATAGTCGTAGCCCGAACCACTTCGTGGGAACTATGAATTTCCTAGTCACCAAACACGGCTATGGCATGTTAAAAGCTAAAGCTGGAAGCGTACAAACTCAACGCGCTGCGAACACCGGTGTTGCTGATGACCATGTTTGTTGCCATAGCAACGACACAAGCAATAGATTCCGGTGTCGTTGCTGGGCCAACGGGCATGTTGCTTTGTTATTTTATCTGCTCAAACGTGCCTTGCAAGCGAGTCAAGAAGTTGTGCCCTAAACCTAACCCCTTCGTGAAAAAAAAAAAGGGGGGGGGGGGGGGTTGTGGTTAGAAAATTTCTGGCCCTTGTTCTAACCTGTGCAGATTGTTGTTAATGCTGCAGTGTGCTGGTTGCCTGTGGAAAAGCATTTTAAGATGAGGCTTATAGCAGTAGTCACTATTCATGCGTGTATATGCCGCATAGTTGTGAGTACTAATATGATCCCTGATGTCTAAAGTAAGTGGCAATCATTTGGAGTACTGCATGACATTTATGCAACAAATGAAACAAAACTGTGCACCAGTTTTTTTTCTTGTTTTTTTTTTGCCACCCCTATGCCTCAGATTTACGAATTTCCCGAATCTCGGGGTCATCATCTTGGCAGGTCCACATTTGAATCCTCAGAGCTTGTCAAACGATTTGACAGGTGTGGCAAATTTCAATATGGGCTTCATCATTGTTTGCTAGTGAGGTGGTTAAACGATACTACTTTTATTGAACTAGCAGTGCTCACATTCCCTCTATATGATTTAGGGAATGTGATTTTGCAGCAGTGCTCACATTCCCTCTATATGATTTTGGGCTGACGGGCCTGTCAAGCTGCTTGTATGCAGCTTTTGTCGTCAGCCTTTCAATGTATTCACGATAAATAAATAAAATAAAATAAATAAATGTTGAATGGCTTGCACATGATTTTTTTTTCCAAAATGTAAGCCTTCATTTTTATGCTGCTCCAGATTTGATCTTTTGTGATAAAAAATTAATGTTTTTTTCTCGTAACCTGCTGCAATTTCATATTTTAGTGCCCCAAAAGTAACATTTTGCTGCTCCGAATTCTATTTTGGCTGTTGCACCCCTACTTGTTTTTACACCAAGATGTGCATTTATTTTCATGACAGAAACAAATAGCATCACTCAACAAAATTGTGAACACCATTGAAACACTGCTGAAAACTACGCGTGAAGACTGGGAGAGCACATCAGGTAAGCTCTCATTTGCCTCTTTCACCTACCAAATTTGTGATATGGCAGTGTACGTTGGCAATCTCACCTATGAGTCGATTCACATCAAGCAGTGGGTAGTCCGAGTGAGCCTAGGTCAGCACTTTGAGAGACTACTCACTCATACTCGCTCACTGCAGTATTTTCAGCCTTCACGTTCATACTCACTCACGTTCATACTGACATCTACTCACAGGCCCTTTCTTACGTTCATACAATTACACACACTCATAAGTACTCACTCGTGTTCATGCTCCCTACCTAGTACCAAAGACAACATGGGGCTTGAACCTGGGTTCGCTGTGTGCCAGCCCAATATTCGACCACTAAGTCAAGCTGGTGCTTGTTCGCAAAGTTGCCTTAGGCAGGCTTGATGTGGGTAAAGTAATTGTGTTAATATGAGTAGTAAAGCATTGTAGAACAGCAAAAGAACTACCAGGCATCACACAGTGCGAATAGCATAATGAGTGGGTCGTCCAATGTTCCAACCCATTACAGAAGCTTGTTTTTGTTCTTCTACCAATTGTGGCGCATAGCCACTTCAGGCATATAATTCCTCATTGTCTTCAGCCACTGCATGAACATTTGGCACAAAATTCCTTGCAAGTGTTTAGGAGATACCATGCTTCTCAGAAGAATGAGAAAAGATAGCATAGCAAATGCAGGACTACTACCCGGAAATTATTATTATTAATGCCATAGTGGGTACCCATCAAGTTCGCTTGTAGCAGTTACCCAATGAGTGTTTAGAAAAGGCTTTGAAAGGCTGCTCCTATAGCTTTCGCTGTGACTGTGTTGCGCCTTCTGCACAGGCATGGCGTTTTTTTTTTTTTTTCTCAGAACGTACAACCAAATAACTGTGTATGCGTTTCAGTCTAATATCCGACACTGGGAATGGAAATAGTAAAGATGACTGATTGCAGGTTAATTACATGTTTAATCAAATGCCAATTGAAATTCATTACTGAAACGTGCACAAAGCAACACATTTTTTAAATTTTCTTTTGTGGAATGTAATACTGAGTGGATTGGCATCGTGCCATGCAAATGCGACGCAGTCACACCTGAAGGGTACATGAGAAATGAAGGTGCTGTAATGTTTCTCACTGGGATGCATGTGCGTCTAGACTAGAAGGCAGAGTGAGAGCTATTCGACGAAGTGCTCTCCTTGAAATGTGCAGGTCAGCGAAGTGCTCTGGCTCAGACGTCGTCTTTGGCCGACACCAATGCCCTGATTGGTGCCCTGAGCACGGGTAAGGGCCTACGGCCAAGCCTGGGCTCACCAAAGAGCCAGTCTCCGTTGCCTACAGCCCAGTCCAGGGGAGCAAAGGCCTTCTCCAGTGAGTGGGCAGAGGTCGTGTTTACCTCGCAAACTATTTTTCCATCATATTACCTGATCAAAGGATGCCAAGTGATTCAGTGACAAGCATGTTTCTTGCTTTGGTGCGCGTTACTGAGTGTGACACTTAACTGAACAGTAAAATTTTTCTTTTTGGCCTTCAGTGCACCCTGCGGGCAAGATGCCAAGTTCCATCAAGACTAACATCAAGTCTGCGGGTGCTTCTCATCCCTATGGCCGATAATTAATAAAGCAGCTTTCAGGTTCAAAGACATACATGTATGCCATTGTCTGTCTTGTGCCTTTTCTTTCATTTCTCTTGCTTGACATGACCTGCCACATTGCAGGTATACATGCTAACGAGATAGCATTAAAGAGCTCGTCACTCAAATATGTGGGCGTTGGCTAATTCGATTGATTTGTGGGGTTTAACATCCCAAAACCAGCATATGATTATAAGAGACGCCATAGTGGAGGACTGCGGAAATTTCAACCACCTGGGGTTCTTCAACGTGCACCCAAATGTGAGCACACGGACCTGCAGCATTTTCGTCTCCATCGAAAATGCAGCTGCCGCAGCCGGGATTCGATCGCACGACATGTGGGTCAGTAGCCGAGTACCTTAGCCACTAGACCACAGCGGCGGGGAAATTTTGGCATTGATGTCTGCATCATTGGTAGTGAGTGAAAAATCATCTTGGGCATGACAGAAAAAGTAAAAAAGATGCAAATAAAGTAAATAAGTATTCTGGGTCTGAGTGGGGATTAAAACCAAGTTGCTTGCGTGGCAAGCGGGTGTTCTACCACACAGCCACGCCTCTGCTTGCGAATGCAGTGAAAATAACTCCCTCTGCTTCGAAATGCAGTGAAAGTAATTTTCACGCTTCACAATACAACATGAAATACTGCAGTAACAATGTGTGGAACAAGTGTACATTGCAATTGGGCGTCAGAACTTGTGATTATCATAAGTTCATGGTTTAAAGCCAGGCACCTACTGCAAAAGGCGCACGTTGATTGATTGATAAGTGGGGTTTAACATCTCAAAACCACCATATAATTATGAGAGACGGCATAGTGGAGGGCTCCGGAAATGAAAGGCACACAAGTTACTTCACCTATTTACTTAAGACCACATACTAGTGGGTGCATAGCAAGTTAGAAAACATTTTATGCACATAGTGCTTGAAGTATGCACTAGGAACAGGGTGTTGCTACCGTGTTAACTTTTAAAGGCGAAGCTTAAGGCTTCCCAATTTTTTTTTTCAAGCTGATGTCATATTTTTTTTTTTGAATTCTTACTACAGCGGCGCACCAGCTCTGGTGTAGTAAGCATTGATGAAGGCACAATGATTTTCAACGTGCTGAATTACAGAACCAACTTCAAAAGCGTTACTTTTCTTTCTTGGAATGAATGCAAAGAAAAACTGATTGTGCACGCATTTGCAGCCTATATCATTCTTTTTATGCTAAAATGGAATGCAACTGACAGCAGAATGATAAGCTACTTAATTACATGCAAATTACATTAAATTGCTAAAGCTCACACAAACCAACTCATTACTTCATTTTTTATTGTTATTTAATGTTAGGTGCCTTGGAATTGTACTATGTGAATTTGACGCATTCATATACAGTACATCGTAATTTGAGCCTGAAGGTAATGTAGTCATGCATGAACACGCTGCGGCCAGTTTCGATTTCATTCATGGGTGTTTCCCATCTGCGCCTGCAAAGCTGACGACTGTTTGATTTTGAATCCCTCAAAGAGTGACCACTTGTTTATTCTCTCATTTATTGCTCTCTGGGCACGGTGACAAACGTTTCAGCACAAGCGCTGGCTTACACGAACGATGCCACTGTGGTTGCATTTCCTGTTTTAAGGGCTCACAAAAACTAATTTTGTCATGTTGGTAATAACACGAAGCAAAGTTTGAGATTGGTTTAGTTGGACAAGATGAAATATCATTATAGGTTCTTCACTTGATTGCCCACTACTAAGGGCTAGGCACCACTTTTATTAACAAATTTCCTCCAGCAAACCTGGGCAAGGATTGGGCTTCACATGCACAGAAGATGAATTAATGATTAATTGAAAGTAAGCCCGACAACAATAGGCACCAAAAAGAATGCAAGATAATAGATTGCATGAAAACAGACAGTGGCCCAGCAGAACAAAATGAACTGGAAAGTGCGTAACATAAAAGAAAACTGGGGAGGGATGAAGCATGCAGTGAAATTACTGCGCATGTAGTCTGAAAACTGCATTGGAATGCAGCTTACCCAAGGTGCTGCTTCTTCCTTACATCTGCTCCACTAACATCATGGGCTACCTGCTTCATTTTCAGTGGACCGGTGGCAAGTTGCAGGATTTAGCCATGCTTTTATGATGGACGGTGACAGGAGACAAACCCTAAGGTACTTCACAGCTAACGCAAAAGACCGTTCCGACTGTCTGGTGACAAATACAGTAAGAGAATGAAGCACGTGTCCATTGCAGAGAGAATCTACCTAGTAAAAATGTGTATGCATGCAGGCGCACAAACTGGACAAGCATGCTTAGATATCGCTTCTGCAAATAAGGAGAAGGAAACAAATTTGATGACGCCAAAAATGGGTCAGGTGAGGGAGGGGGACGGGGAAAAGAAAACAATGAGCCCTCGGGCCGCTCTAGGTGGCCGAAAGTCCTTGCGCTTCGGCGACCCCTATGGCCCAGTGTGTGATATGGAGTTGGTCATTCAAACGTGAGCTGCAGCCTCCCATCGCTCCTGTCCCTCAGCCCCTGAAAAGGGGGGATTCAGCTTGTTTGGACAAGTTCCATATGTATGATGAAAAGTGAGCTCGCTAACTCGAGCGGAGAGGACAATGAGGAAAGCGTGATGTTGGTGAATTTTAGAATGTATGAAGGGGGAAATCAAGATGCCCGTTTGGAGACGGTGCCAAACGATTTGCTCAGTCTGGGACAGTGATTTATGGGCTGGTGGGTAGTCCATGCGGGAATTGCGGTAATGTAATCTCATGGTAGGTGAATAGGCACTGTGAAAGGAAAGCAGATCGTCCACTGCCCGGTTGACGAGTGCTCGGGCTTGCTCGTGGACGGCTGTATTCCCGGTATGTCCGCAATGCGCGGGAACCCACAAAATGGTAGCATTCATTTTTGTTACAACTATATTGTTCAGTACATATATTATGCAAAGTCAGAGGCAAAGTGCATGCATGCATACAGCAATGCACATTCCCTGAAAAAAAAAAAAAAAGGTTCAGGTTTCAGCATGTGTAAAAGTGTGTGCATGTATACATACACTATAATAAACGAAATTCAGTGAGCTACTCTATAGGTCCTCACCATTTCTTGCTAAAAATTACTCTCCCCCCCCCCCCCCCCCCCCCCGTTAAAAAAATCGACTCGGGCATAGTTGGCGATAGCCATTCTTCCTGAAAATAGGACGCACTACAGTGAAGCATGAAATGAAGAGACACTGCCGTTTATGTAATTCTATAAATTTCAATTGTGGTCGCCTTAACATAGCCTTTGTCAGTACAATACGGCAAGTGTGAGGGCATTTCTTCAGCTGCCCTTAGGCATGGCTGGCAGTCTTGCCTTGTACTTCAGGAAAATGTTTTCAATGTGTACAAAAGGAACAGATATAAATACATAAAGAAGTCAGAACAGTCAAAAAATGTTTTGTAACATGTGGGAACTATTCTGCAGAAGCTATACGAGGGCCCCGTTTTTCAATACCGACCAGCATTATTACATTGTTTGTCACACCTGTCACCTCGCTGCTACACAGCCCCGCCGCAATGGTCTAGTGGCTAAGGTACTCTGCTGCTGATTCGCAGGTCGCGGGATTGAATCACAGCTGCGGTGGCTGCATTTTCGATGCAGGCGAAAATGCTGTAGGTCCGTGTGCTCAGATTTGGGTGCACGTTAAAGCACCCCAGGTGGTCAAAACTTTCGGAGCCTCCGCTATGGCGTCTCTCATAATTATATGGTGGTTTTGGGATGTTAAACTCGACATATCTATCACTGCTACACAACCGTGACAAAGGTAGAGAAATAATGAAGAAAAAAAATGTTGAGGGCTTATTTCTTTGTTTGACACAACATTAATGAAAACAAGTAATGAAAGCAGCACAGCAGTGCTATATACTACCAGGAACTGTTGCAGCTTTATAAAAAAAACTTGTACATCACAGATACATTTCTCATCACTGCACTCTTACAATAGATCAGAAGAGGTCTGCAATAACTTGCGGTGGAGGGCCAAGGTTGCATGAAGCTGAACTGGTGAGGACCAGATGGCTATGTGCAAGGGGGTTATGGCCGAGAAGAAAAAAGTTCGATGAACAAACAGTAATACAAGATAAAAACCGTGCTTATTTAAACTGAAGGAGTAATCATTTTTGTTTACTTCTATACAGGCGATATTGGAAGTGATAAAGGGGAAGTTCTGGCATTGGCCCGCAGGTTGCTGGCCTCACTCTGGATGATCAGATGGTACCTTCCTGTTAGTCTTTTTTTTAACCCCATTCAAGGAGCACTGACAAGATTCTGAAACATTTTTTATTTGCTTTGTATGCAGTGCCAGCGCACTCTACATACTGTAGTCAGTATGACGTATTTTACTTTGATTATAGTTATTTTTGCCGAGCATCTGCAAGCCGGCACCACAGCAATGCACATTATCCCGACAAGTCAACACAGTTTTTAAAGTCCGTGTGCTGCATGAAGCATCATTGTCAGGCTCACTGGACAACTTACTCATCATCGTTTAAGTTCCCCATGAGCAGATGACAGAGCTGCTGCTGGCACGTCGCCAGTTGCCATTTCTCAGAGACGTCACACTGCTAGGAAACGCCACTGAGAAGCCGCACCCTCAATTGTAAAACCGAAAGTGTAGTTTTTGGGGGTACCGATAACGAAAGTTTATTCAATGGTTTCCCAGCCACCACAATACTAAATTTTCGTGACAACATGAAAATTTAAAAATTTCGTATCAGCACTCCTTTGAGGCAAGCTAGTATAACCAATGGCGAGATTTACACGCTTTGTACATGACATCCTACGTCCTGCTGCTCCAACATGGTTGCTGTGAGCTGATTTCAACATATCATGCTCAGCTTCACAAACAACTTGTTTCAATGTGACCGAGACGCTGATGACATATGCGCAAGAACTTGCAGCACGCTTGACCATAAAAAATGTAACTTTTCGTTAATGCTGGTCCTCCAATATGGCAGCTGTAATGTAAGTGCAATCATGCACTTTTAGGAGTGATGTTTTGTTCCTTAGCAGGGTGTGAACTATAATAAATCGAGGCACTAACAAAGTTTTTGAATTGGGACCCCAAAGCCCTTAGCGTGCACTCACTTTGAGTAAAGTAGGAGCCAAGAGTTCTCTAATAGGGTTTGTGGCACTTTGGACACTCCTCCTATTCATGTTTGTTTGACGCAAAGCTTTTGGGGCAGGCATCCAGGCTCTCGCTAAAATCTAGAATTAACGCGCCCAACGTAAAACCCCAACATTGTTTGGGTCTCGCACATTTGCATTGGCCTCAACAAAGTTTTTTGGGGGTTCCAAAATAACAGGGTCCGCTACTCAAAAACTCCCTAGTGTGCACTGCAGTGATGCAAGCAACTTTTTACACTATGGAGCAGAAAAAGCACCACTTTGAAGCAGCCATGAGTGTTTTTATAGCAGCAAAAATGCTAGTCTTGATTAGCTATTGGTGTTTTATATGCCATACAACTCCTAGAATTTAAAGCATCACTGAAGTGTCGCATAAATATTAATATTTATTATCAAAGATGTTTCACAGCGTGCAAACAATGTAAATTGGAAGAATCGAACAATTAGATTGGTCATCGAATGCCCTTGGTATGAGCTCTATATTTACTATACAATCTCGGTCATTTTTACATGTCACTGAAATAGCCTGCATGTAAAATTGAAAATAGCTAAATGATCTGAAAGCTTGATTTGTCAGCTTTTGTTGCATAAGTAAAAGCCAACATAGTTGCATGTTAACATGCAAATTAACATGCTAGGATCATCACATACACATTCTTTTCAGGGCTTGTAAGTTGGTCACACCGTTAAAGTTGCTCAGCTTCATTTTTTCAATGCCATTATGGAGCAGGTTCGGAGCAGTTACAAAGCAAAACCACAATTTTGAGTGGCATTTCTCTTGGAGCAGCACAGGAAAATTTTTCTCGCAGAGTGGAGCCCTCAGTGCACAAGATGGCATGCTTAATCACACACACACACAAGAGAAGAGACAACACAAACGCCGACTCTCAGTCAAATGAGCGGCACAGAAGTAGACACACAACAGTGCATGTGCACTTATGGTGGCGTCAACTCTCAATACGGCACATGTGATGCTCTACGTAAAAGATAACTGCAAACAATTAGCCATTATGAGGTAACTGCACAATTGATATGTTGAACGACTCCTTTCTTTTCCACCTTAGTGCACTTTCTTTAGTTGATAGATGCAACACCTGTGATGCATTTTTGCCAACTAACCGGTAAGCTTTCTACGAAAAAATCCGCCCGAGCTTTGTTCAAGTTATAGCCTTAAAAAAGTGAAGTCAAAACGTCGGCTCGAGCCCCTGCTTGCACATTTTCTCATCGCAAGCTCCCATCTTCCCCTTTCTGGCGTTTTTTGATAAGCTTTTCCGTCATTCGTGGTAAGTAGATACTGGTCACAGCTCGGTCTTCGCTCGCCCGGAGTCGTCCAAGCAGTCGGCGTCCCCTTTGCGCAGCACCCGATGGCGGCAGAGATAAGTGGCGAGGGGTTCCTCCTGGCTGCCGAAGTACCACCGCTCGATGTCGGCTTCGTACTGTTCGAGCAAGGCCTCGCACTGGCTCTTGAGCTGCGTCACCTCGGCCGACGGGCTATCCCAAAGCTCGTAGGGGATCCCCAAATCAACCTTGACTCCCTTCGCCACCAGGCCGTGTAGCGTCCTGAACGTGGTGCTCGTCCCCTTGGCGAAGCGCGTGCTGTCCTTACGTTCCTTGTGGATGTTGTACTCGAGCAGCCGGTCGCACACGCCGTCTAGGGACTCTACCAAGCGCAGTTCTGAAACGGCGTACTTCTTGCGCTTACGCTTTCCGTCCAGCGAGTATCCGGTCTCGATGACGTCGTGCGTTTTGCCGGTCTCTCCGAGGCGTGCTTCCAGCTCCACGGCGAGGTACTTACACGCTTCGCACCTGGACGCGTACTTGACGCCATAAAGGGCCTCCTCGACGCTTTCATCAGCTGCTGCTTGAGCGCTCAGAGTAGTAGCGCCAAGGAACACCACCGCGACACACAGCGCGCGCATTGACTGTTTCAAGCACGTGGCACTCTGGTTGTTCTGGTTACAAGCTAGGAGCATTAGGAGTCTGTCCTGTCTGCCGGCATCCGGCGATCACATAAACGGGCAACAACAACTGCAACAGCAGACACCCACAAGCCACGGTGGTAGAATATAACAGGTAAGGTAGCCAAACAAGCGCCTTCAGCGCATCGCCGAACTGCTCTAGTTGATTGCGACCGCCGCTAGGTTCGCGAAGGTCTGCGGGCCAGAAAACGCGTATTGCAAACTTGCGTTTTTATTTTTCTGGCTTTGAAAACGTTGTATTTGTGTTTTAATCACAGTGTAAAAATAAGTTAGGTGATAATACTTCACCCGACGCCGTGCCCTGACTGTGTTCGCCGCCTGGGCTGTTTCTCTTTGAAGCAACAGATAACAAATTAGCAATAGCAGTATTACGGCTAGGTGGCGTTAGCCGTCGCCCGATCTAAAAAGTACAACCACATATATCCATCCACCCACTAAGTATTGCGGTTAGGTGGCGTTAGCCGTTACCCGATCCACTGGTAGCATAGAGAAAGAAGTGCGTCACGATTACGTAATCAACTAGTGCTCTCATCAAACGTCAGAGGGCGCAAGCGCAAAAAAAAACAGTTATAATCAATGCAACAAAATTGTTTTCCCAAAATATTAATTATACGCCCAAACTAAGTATGTTCTTTATACATAAAAACAATTTATTCAACACACCTTACGCGATTATTTTTCTCCAGCCGTACTGTCATAAACACCATCCACCCAGTGACAAGCCCATGCATGACTGACAGCGAGAACCTTTCGTCGCTTTCGTCAACGTCGGCTGCGTCGACGTTTTCAAGCGTGAGATAACAGGTGAGGCACGTTTTCAAGCGAAGATTGTTGAATGACATGTTGTTGGTCTTGTTCAGTCATTTTTTTCAGAAAACGGTTGCACCTGTGCGAATAAGACACCGTGCAACAAACATAGAAAGATGCACGCACACACGTTGCGCTTCGTGTGTGCGAGTTTGTTTCTTACGTGGGGTCTCATTCACGCAGTTGTAACCTTTTTCTGTAGCTTGTAAGGACGGGGAGGTTCGCTAAAAAGAAAGTTTGCGGCTCTATGCGGCGGCTTGACGGGAACATTGTGCAACGTATGCAGTATAGCAAAGGCGGCACGGCGTCAAGCCGAGGCGACGCGTGCTGCGTCTGCCACGGACGCGAGCATCTGTACCTTTCATCAGTGAAAGCTGGCACTGTTGATAATTCCAAAAATCACAAATTACTTGTTTCCTTGTTGGTGCCTTCTCTTTTCTTCCACGTTCTACCAATTTATGCGTTTGAAAGAGTTGTTTAAGTTTCCCCATGCTACAAGCTTTGTAACTTGTACCAACTGCACATATATGCAGATTTTCTGAGCGTCGCTTCAAATAGTGACTGTGACATGACTGCAAAAGCTGCACTGCAAGGTGCGGATGAGCTTTAGTTTGTGTTATTTTAAGCCTCCTGCTTACACATTGTCGTAATTTCATTTCTTCAGGACCTGCGGTAGAGGCTTCAAAAAGCGGCTCCCACACATTGAGGTGCCCCGATGAACAGGGTGCGTTCAGTGTCGCGATTTCTCTTTTTTTTACCCAAATTGACTGCTGACCAAACCTCTGCAGGTGGCAGCTCCCTTGTAGCTGGTGAAAGAATTTCCGCCGACTTCGTCTTGCCGGAGAAAACCTTAACCAGTCATTCAGCTGTCACAAAAGGAACTTGTGTGACCGGTAAGTTGTATGTTCACTTCAACACCAGAGTGGATTGATATAGAGACTTCCGCAGGCCGCTCGCAAGGTTGTTCCGACAGCACTGTCCGAGGCACTGAACAAGCTTCACAAGACCCTCCAGAAGATGTCTCTGCCAACAGCTCCACGTCTGAGTGCCCTAGAGAAAATGGTGACTATGCTTTTATTGCAGCTGTTTTAATGTGCTATTTTATGTTTAGGACATTCTGAGGAAACTATCCTCAAAAGGACACTACGTGTGCACTTACAAAATGTAAGGGTGGGCTCTCAGTGATTTTCATTTTTTTTTGTGCATTGTCAACATTGTGAATGGTTTGTTTTTAGGTAGTGGAATCGAAAACTTTGCACCACAGAAAGTTGTGCACCTTGGGTCTGAAAGAGCGAGGAAAGTGCTCGTATGGGATTAGTTGTTCTTCGCTTTTACATCCATTTTTTTGTTTATTGCAGTGCGTTCCTGTGTGCCAGCGACAATGTCTCCATCAATGAAGTACAAGCAAACCATTAAACATCTGCAAGCCAAAGTAGCAGCACAGCGGAAAACTATCAAAAGACTGCGGAGACAGCCTCACCAAACTAACCACTCGTTCGTTGCATACATTGTTTTGGTTACCCGCTATGAGGAGTAGGGACACTGTGTATTCGCTCGAAGTGATTTGCATAACCTTAAAAAGAATGTTGGGTATCCTGTCTGTATTTTCGTAGCGAATGCGGGCGAACTGTACACTTTACTGGGGGTCGCTTGGTCACTGTGTATGCTTTATCTCTCCAGCTCAAGTAATATATCGATAACAAAACCGCTTGTTGAAATGTCTTCGAGAGGGTAAGGAACACAGTATGAAGTGGGCGCAGTTCACGTTATCACGCTTTTTGTATTTTAGCTTCCCATCAACCTCCTCATCTCGCCCATCAAAATTATCAAAAGAATACCCAAACTTGTAGCGTTTGATGGGGCTGCGGACGCTGTCATTTTATTTTTATATAGCTTGTGAGTGATAACGTACGGTGTAGAGCCTTTGTGAAAAATAATGAGCCAAAGTGGTTTCCTTCTGCTATTTATTAGCCCTGTAATACCGCTCTCGTAACACCAATTAAGGTCCACAATTCTGGATAAGTGATGACTACAATCTATTTTAGCTCGCAAGCGTCACAGCAACACCGAGATGCAAATCACTTAGGATCTTAAGTTTTTGATGATAAGAAGAGCCACAAGACCTGCCAGTGTTGTAGCTTAAAGTTTGTCTTTCACGTAGTGAGCAAGCTGCAAAGCCCTACCTTTCTGAGGACAAGCAGGCATCAAGTCTGCTTTTTTTTTCATTTTGGGCTAGCTGTTCTTAAGCACAGCCAGCACACTGCAGATTTGCCTTTCTGCTATGTTGTGTCGTGTGGTTTCTGTGCACTCTTTTTTTCTATGCATTATTTTGGTTAACCCCAGGCGTGATTCGCGACTTCATTGCTGTGTATATGTCACTTCTTTCTTCTTCAGCATTGTGCGCTGTGTTTTTGCCATAGATCCTTACTTACCCACGGGCCCGGTGTGTCATACTTCACCAGCTTCTCGGCTTCTGCCAACTCTAGCGATGTGTGCGTTGTCTGTGTTCTCTCTGTATTTGTTACAATATTTGTTACAATTTATTTGTAAGGCGAAATGCATTTGTTGTCTACCTTTGTCATATTGTGCTTTTTATATTCTCAGACTCTACCTTGCCTTTGAATAAAACATTGCGGATACTCTGTCTCTTTGACTGATATATACATTGATCACTTGTTCCAAAAGAACAAGTGAACAAAAGAACAAGAACAAGCGCGATGAATAAAATCGTAGTGAATTATCACTACCTGCATGTCTTTTTATTATAACTTAATCGAAATAAAAATAAAAAATAAAAGTAAAAATTCAAAATTTGCGCCAGTGAAATCGAAACAGGAAGCGCACGCCGCTTGCTCTCACCAACCACCAGGTGTGCTAGGGTCGATTGGGCCGCTGGGGTCTACGGGAGTGTCCGCTCTTCATCTTTTTTTATTTCTCTATGCTGGTAGGTGTTCTGTGGTACTGCACATAGAGTTTCTTAATATTCACTAGAAGGAACTCTGGTGCTAGTGTCCATGAAAGCTGCAACGTGGCTGCAACATAGAGTTTTCTAAAATTAACTAGAGGGCACTCTGGCGCTGCGATCGTTCATTGACCATGGGAATGATGGGTAGTACACACAAGGTCCGTTCGATTCACCTGCACCGGTCGGAACCAATTCACGGCTGTGCACGCGAAGTTCAGAAATTGTGCAGCGTGAGTTCAGCGGTGCAGGCACAGCACGACACCCGAAACGAATGACGATGTGCCGACAAGGTGCAGGCCTTATTTCATTTCGCTTAATTTACACCGTTCAGCAAACACTGACCGATGGCAAATCGAACATGCTGACAGTTTATGAGGCGCAAACAACTTGGCAAAACACACCGCATTTGTAGAGGCGGGTACGGCGCCTAAGCCACCTACGTTCAAGTGCTGCGTCGTCTGCTCAGCTGCACGCGCGCCTGCACCAAGCCGGCACCGTCAGCGAAGGAGGTGCAGGAAAATCGTGAACCGGTGCTGCACCTATCCTGCACCTTTCGAAACGAATGGCAGGGTTCAGGGGTCGTCATTGCTGCACCGCTGAAACGAATGGCAAGGTGCAGCACCTCGTGAACTGGTTCACGTGGTGCAGGCGAATCGAACGGACCTACATTTGCACATTTGCTTTTCCTTCCTCCGTGGTATTTGCGGGCGGCGAACCGTACTTGCGGCTTCGTTTATTGCTGGTTACGGTTTTGTTTTGAAAGAAAGAACCCTCTTGAACCTAGTGATTTGATTCAAAATGGTAAGCGTAAAAGAATAAGGTTGTGAAGCGCAAACGGTAAACATTTGCTAATTTATGTTTTCATGAAAAAAACAGCTTCGAGCCACACAAATACACACGGAGCCAGAAGCAGGCCAGAGGTACGAAAATTAGACAAATGTGTGTACTACCCATCATTCCCATGCTCGCTGAAGCGCCGTGTGTTGCAGCTTCCATAGACACTAGCGCCAGAGTTCCCTCTAGTATTGTGAGAAACTCTATGGGCTGCAACACACGGCGCTTCAGCGAGCACAGATGGATGAAAAACTTTATTATACATATTGCTGAATGGGGGGAGTCCCTAGTCCGGGATCCCATTGGCTTGCGCCCCGGTCTTTGCGCGGGCCACCAGGACCTCTTGGACCCCCCGGTCCGGGCTGGACAGTGCCGCCTCCCATCCATCTCTACTGAAATCCCTAAAGACATCTGTTTTGGATGTGTTGCACTGGCACTCCCATGCCATGTGTTAAAGTGTAGCTATATTAGTGTTGCATAGCCTGCATGTTGGTGAGGGGTACTTATCAGGGTCGATTTTGGAGAGTACTTGGGGGTT